ATCAAATTCCATCTTATCCTCCTGAAATACATTTAATCAGCTCATGCCAGCTATCACACCCTGTAGTATAGCGGTGTCAGTTGTCAGCCATCATATGACTGAGAAACAATTCTTGATCTCCTGGGTCGCTTTAACTGAACATGAGTTGTGTACTGTATGAGGATAGGAAATGTGGTGAGAAATTTCTGCTATCAATGGCGTTCACGACTAGACGTTAGTACACTGGTCTGAAAAGGTGTTTAGCAGGGGAGACAGGATCCCAGTTCCTTATTTAAAGCCATTCGCAGAGGTATCAAGACTTCCGTTGAGAAACATACTGAGATGATTCACAGTGGTGTCGCTACAGATATTAATAGCTTGTCTGTGGAACATGAGGACAGAAATTGGAGCCAAATGCAAATACAATTGTTCAGCGCTTTGCACTTTAGCCTCACCGCAGATGCATGTCACGTACGGCGGATACTAGGTTATGAGTTGCTACAATACGTTGAGTTCGCATTCTTATACCACCAATGCGGCGCTTCGAGACGCGCACCAATTGGAAGAAGGCGTTACATCCGACAGAAGGGATAAGACCTTGGCATATCCCAATGGTGAGCCTACTGATGCAGGGTCAGGTGGTAACGTAAACAAGATATTACACCCACAATCAACATTTTTTGTATTTGCTGTAGCATCCTAGCATAATATATGAAAGTGTTTAAGTTGACCTCTATAGGAAAGAGGCGGAAACTGAACTTGTAACGCGAATACTATGTGTGAGGACCGTGCTATTTGGCTCACCTGTACTCCTAATAAATCTACTGCAACTAACCCTCTCTTGCAGTCCGCGGTTCAAAGGCATGAGGTTAGGCGGGCAGTTCCTACACATGGGACTTACAATTCAGCTGTAGGAGTTTTAGCGCCCCGAGTCTTTTCACGGGGTAAGGAAGGTAGTGAGTGAAACTCGATGCATGTATTCCGAAGGGAATAGGGCAAATGGACCTGAGCATGGCCCGAAGGCCAGCCCACACGTACAAAGGCCAGACAAATTTTAAAGTGAGCCATGATCGTCCGATAGTCACATAAACAAAGCATTACAGACGTCACTAGGAATGGTTGAACGCATGTATTCCAACATGGGGTTTCGACTTCGCTACGAGATTTCGCCGCCCTACAGAACCACGACGAGCACGAAAGGGACAATCGATCACGCTGGTAATCAAGCAAACAAAACAGTGCATTAACAGTCCAACCTTTAGAATATTTAGAAAATGAAACCACAAGAAACTTTAAAAAAATAAGCATAGTATGGAAACTTATATGAATATTCAGCACCCGTGTCGGAGAAAGAACATAATAATATTCATTTAATAGCTCTAAAAGCATTCTTTTATACGTCTATTCGTTGTTTGCGATTACCTTGGCTATAGGCTAGCACTTGTAATTAAGGTAGGCATGTGTTTTATCGAATGCCTTCGGCGCCTCACTTGATTCCGGCGTCCGTTTCTGGGCTTTGGGATGCAGAGGTCAATACTAAGTTTTTTCTCCAAAGTCTCTGGTGAAAAAAAGGAGTCACATGCGGTCGGATCTTCTCTCAGCTCTGATAATGTGGGGACTTCATCTAAGACATCAACTAACGTTAATGTAAGCTTGGGCATTGCTTTATTAAAATCTTGCTGCTTTTAGTGCGGATAAGCACACCAGTTCGATTTTCGAGTTGTTTTTTTTCCTGGGTATAACACAAGTAAAATTTTTCTATTACACAAACTTGTATTCATTCACATTATCATTGAG